ATCAGGTGTAGTAGTAAGCCGGGCGACAGCAGAGCTGCCTGCAGAAGTACCTAAAGATTGTCGGTTGGAGACTTCTAGGCGTTGGATATGTTCTATACACGCAATAGGATAAGTGACCTTTTGACCTTAATGAATATCGCGTGGAGAGCGCTCTGACGAGGCTAGTGTGGCCCGTCACTAAATACGGTCATTGCTCCTTGTCGAGATCCATTGCTCGACAAGGTTTTCCAGAAGAGGTGAATAAACCAACTGCTGTCCACCGTTTCATCTGGAATATCGCTGCTGCCTTGCAATCCGCGCTTGGATGCGCAAAGGCTAGAGTGCACCCTCGAACAAGGCCTACTCTAGACCGGGCGACCGAGTAGTACAATAGCCCACAACGCGTGCAATGATGAACTCTTTGACTTTCATGTGCATTCAGTCTGCCATTTCCACACCAACAGATAAACACTCTACACCATACGTACACTCATGTCTCCCCAGCCCTACCCAATCCTACCTTCACCCTCTTAACTCACCTCCTCTCTCTCGGGTTCTTCAGGCGATCGTGCAAACACTAGTGCCTCAGATGGAAACTCTGCCGCTGTTCTACCTTGACTACCGTCCAAGTCTCACCGATTTCTCCACCAGCTGAAGCCCTTCTTCGCCCTCGATGTCCTTTCAAACTAGCCACATTTAATGTGCGCACTCTGATGCGTAAAGGACAACAGGCTGGTTTAGGTCGTACGCTCGAGACCCTAGCCATCGATGTGTGTTGTATCCAAGAGACTCGTATTCAAGACTCCAGCTCCCTTATCCGATTGACGTCCCCATCAAACCCATCAGTGAAGTTTTACTTACGCCTCTCTGGGGACCCTGAGGCTACGGCTTCCGGTCTTGCTGGCGTTGGTTGGCTCTCAGCGAGAGAGTTGAAGCCGCGCTCCTGAACTGGTTCCCAGTCGACAGTAGGCGGTGCGCAGTGAGACTTAGAGGTTCGTGCAAAGTAAGCAGCCGTCGCCCCGAAACGAAACCTGTTTGTCGTGTCGGCGTGCGCCCCGACAGGCTGCAGCCCAGATGCAGTAAAAGATGAATTTTATCATAACCTACACGACCTCTTGCGTAAAGTGAACCGGTCTNAACCGGTCTGATATCGTGATTTTAGCAGGAGATATGGACGCTAGAGTAGGCCGACTGACTTCGAGTGAGGCGCATCTGGGTGGTCCTTTCGGACTAGATTCCTGTCGCTCGGAAAACGGGGAACGGCTGTTGGCTCTTTGTTCCAACCACCGCCTATTCCTCGCTAGTACGAACTTCAGACGCTCCAACTGCCGGTACGCAACTTGGCGTCCGCCCTCCTCGAGTCAGATACGGACGCAGCTCGACCACATGGCTATAAGCTACTAATGGCGGGGTTGTATACAAGACTACCGATCGTACTGGAGCACTCCCCTCGAATCCGACCACGCGTTAGTTTGCGCCAAGCTGTCCGTGTGCTTCAGTGGGCGTTCCAAACGCTTGACACATCGACGGTTATACTATGATCAGTTGTCTGAACCAGCACGCCTAGCTGTCTCTCGGAACGCGCTACCTGAAAAACTAGAATCAACCCCACTCGATGACGTTAACCAGAACTGGTCGCTTATCAAGAATGTTCTGTATTCTGCTGGCTTAGTTAGTTGTGGTCTGACAAGTCGTGCCGTGACACTCTGGGTTTCTGCGGAATCTCTACGGCTTCACAACGCACGCCGACCGCGAGCATAAAGAAATACGACGAGCAACGAGTCGTAACCTCAACGTAAGCCTACGCAGAGACCGCGAGATCTTGTGAACTAAACGCGCGTCAGAGATGGAACGTGCTGCCGCCATGGGAAACTGCCGTTTCATCTCATCCGGGTCACCGGTAGGAAAGCCTTAAGTGTGAGCGTAACGATCTGCGAAGCTGACGGTTCGCCCATTCACAATCAACAGCGACCTCTTGAACGCTGGGCCGAGCACTTCAAAGCACAGTTTAGCTGGCCACCAGCGTCAGCTGCTCACACAGCTATTCCGGCACACGTCCCATGGTCTGTCACAACAGACCCACCTTCCGAGGCGGAAATCCGTAAGGAGATCCAAACCTTGGGACGTCACAAAGCGTCGGGCTCCGATGGCCTTCCCCCTGCTATATTTAAAGATGATGGAATAAAGCCTGTTAGAGAACTAAAAGTTCTGTTCTCCAAAGTGTGGAACACGGAGCAAGTTCCTTCCTCGTGGATGGAATCGATTGTTGTCCCCATCTTCAAAAAGGGTCCGCACAATGACTGCACTAATCACAGGGGTATAAGCCTAATGCCGATAGCGTCGAAGCTGTTGGCGTCCGTCATTCTCCGCCAATTGTACACTACGCATGAGGAGCAGGCTGGGTTTTGCGGTGGTCGTGGATGCATCGATCAAATCTTCACCCTCCGACAGCTGCTAGAGCACCGTCATGCCCGCCAAAGACCAACGGTCATCGTATTCTTAGACCTTCGCGCGGCCTTCGACTCTGTCGATAGGATCGCACTATGGAACTGTTTATTGAGGAATGGAGTACCTAAGAATTATGCGTCTATCCTCAAAGAGTTGTATCGTCATACCTCAGGCCTGGTTCGGGCCTATGGCCAACTTTCGCCACCCTTCGCCGTCTCCAGTGGAGTTCGACAAGGTTGTCCTATATCCCTATTCCTCTTCAACTTTGTTATGGAGGATGTTCTACAGAATGCTTTGTCTGTTCTAGCAAACGGTGGAGCCGAACTCCTCCAGGGAATAGAGTTCTTGACTTGGAATATGCCGATGACATCGCCTTGCTGGGTGACAACTCACAGGCAGTCCAAGACGCTTTGAACCGCTTGGCGATAGAGGTATCCAGGTATGGTATATGCTTTGCACCTTCCAAGTGCAAGGTGCTGGTTCAAGACTGGCAGGAGCCTGTGCCTGCACTCACCCTCTGTGATGATCAGCTGGAAGTAGTTGAGAGCTTTAAGTACCTCTGGAGCTTGATCGCAGCTTTTGGTGGTTTTGGGGACGAGATCACATCAAGAATAGCAAAAGCTAGGGCAGCTTCCGCCAACCTACGATGCCTGTGACGCTGCCATGACATCCGACTGTCCCTTAAAGTAAGGGTGTACATCGCCGCAGTTCGTAGTGTTCCGCTTTACGGTTACGAGACCTGGCCTCTCCGAACGGAAGATGCTGATCGACTTTCTGTATTTGACCACCGATGTCTGCGAAGCATTGCTCGTGTCTGATGGGAACATCGGGTAAGCAATGACGAGGTTCGTCGTCGTGTGTTGGGTGCTGATAGTCGTTCTCTAACGGAAGTAATCGCTCTACTCCGCTTCCGAGGGCTTGGTTACGTATTACGTATGCCTGTCCATCGATTACCCTTCCGTGCTCTCTTCGCACGTGTCTGGCAAGGCTGGAAGAAGCGATGCGGCGTTCAGACCATGACATGGGCTAGAGGCATGAAGAAGCAGGCTTAGGTTGGTGCAGTCCGCCTTCCAGGTTGGGGCCCAAGAGATGAGGATTGCCGTTGGTTAGGGACACTGAGAGATATGGCCCAGAATAGAAGTCTGGCGCGAATGCTGTACGGTCTGCCTGTCGAAATCCCGTGCCGCGTAAAAGCAACAAACAACAAAAACATGTTTCAAAAAGTGTACGGTGAAACACCCCAAAAAGATTGTTATTCCACATATTCGTAATCTCTTATTCTGACGGATACATCTTTTCCCTATACTCTGTACCCTAACCCCTTCCCCTTCGTTTTTGTTATGGCGTTGGCACCAAGCTTGTTCTCAAGCCGGTGTTAAATATATAAATATATATCGCGTGGTTACCGGGACTGCTTCAGTCCCGCGTAATCCGCTCATCTGTCCAACTGCCCCGCCAATATAAGTTACACAGCTATCTATTTGGAAGAAATCCTCCGCGGTCAACTCTAATCCTTAGCAGGGGTAGTGGACACCTAGTATTGCTGCATTTTGAAGGAGCAGACTGTATATGGAAGGAAGTAACAAAACATGTTGATTTGTCAAGTGCGCTTTGCACGTCTTTCGTAAATTGGAACAGATAAATCTGAGCAGATCTGACGAGATAAGGCACTATTATGGAGCTCCATTGCTGGTTTTCAACGAACGACATAGTTCGCCCTAGAACCTAATCAGCCAGAATCATGCGAGTAATCTGACCCCGATCGTTTATCATAAATCCGGGACTTGACATAGACCTGAGGTCTTCCGGTCAACCGATTCAAACTCCACTTTAAGGTCAAGGTTGTTGATCGATTGTTGGAATAATGTCATTCATTCCCTCGACCGTTTGTGAATGGTACAATCGCGTGACCCAGTGAGAATCAGGCAGACCTTTTCTTCTCTCGGTCACATCGAAGCCTACACTTTGATGATGATGAGATGATCACAGTCGCAGTGGATTAAGCAGCCGTTACGTTAGTTCCTCCTCAACAGTGGAACGATCAGGAATTTGTTTCAAGAAGTTGGATAGGTCATTCTAAAACTCATGTTTCATTACATTGTCGGTCGTCGTAGGCGGGGCTAGGATAACTCAGTTATTTACTACAGATCCCCTAAAAGTTCTGTCAACCCTAATTCATAACCAATTCACGGATATCTATTCTGAGTAACACGTCAATGTTCTCATCGCTGCATCTCTGTGTTCTACGGCTATTCGATCCCATACTCTGTACTTGCATAGCGTTTTAATTTTCTTTTACCTGCTTGTGCTTTTGAACTTTATGGATTCTTTAGCAAAACAGACAAACTCCATGTTGAAGCTTTTCTGTTGTACTTTTCATTTATGCTTTGAACTGTACTCTGTTATCATCTTGATCTCTCCCCCAGACCTCAGTCTCGTGTTTACCCTGAGGGTGGGACGGATGATTTCATTGTGATCGATTCTAACCTGGACGTTGCTTCGGGAACCCACGGGGCGCCAAGTTCCTCTGTATCACAATCATTAGCTGGTGCTAATGTGGGTTCCGGTTCATCTGGAGCGCATGTGGTATGTGATCATACAAAAAGGAACAATGTGGAAGCCCATGTTCATTATTTTGACTATCGTTACTTAACTATTGACGGTACCCTCCATTCCTCGTCAATAATTGTTCTCCACTTATCCAGTTCCTGGTAACAGGTTATTTTGTTTTTATCCAGTTTATTTGCATCTTTCTGTAAAAGGATTTAATCTTTACTAGACCAGCTGAATGAAACATTAGCTCCACATACCTCCTAATGATCTTAAAACATTTTCACGAATTAAACACGCTATTACTAGCATCATCTGGCCTTTGTATTTGAGGTCACGCTGTCAGTTTTTTACATGTTCAAGTTCAACTTCCATTACAATAGGACCGTTCCGGCCCAGGACCAGCGGCTTTGATTATCAACCTCCGGAAGACCTTGTGGATTAGATGGAACGGGACAAAGAGTGGTGCGCTTACTAATGGCGGTTTACTTTTGTTACGTCAGAATATCGTCTCCAGAATCTTGTAGTGTTTCATAATTAGGATGCTTGCGAATTGAAGACGCACCACGAACTGGGACACTGCGATCGATAATTTGTGGAGCATGAGGCCTTCTTATTCACCGCTAACTAGTAATTCCTTGTTTATTTCACTATTGGGGACCTCAGGACGCGCCGAGTGGCATGGCTGTATTCCTCTCTCTCGAAGTGATAATATTCAGTTTGTATATGCTGTAATGTCTCCCTATTCATGCTTGATCGGATATTATGGTAGACCCTAAAGTACCATAGAAATTGTTTTGACGTTCGTCCCTCTTTTAATACGCCAGACCATTTTAGATTTTTGTTGTCTATATAATCGGAAAGTTGTTGGATGATTGCTAGTATTTCATTCACCAAGCTAGAGTTATCCCATTTTCTGGTATTACATTGATACTTTGATACTGGTCGCTTGGGTAAAATGAAATCTCCATATGCATTATGATTATCGATCATTTAATTCTGCCATGTGTTTTGTGTATAAAGAGAAAGTTATTTATGAATTCGATGACACCTATGGCATCATTTTTATTCTGGGTTCCACAAGTTTTTGTTCTAGAGTCATCATAGAGCCGTCATATTCATTCCAGCCATAGCAAAGCCCAGAAATGCCGAGTGTATATTCCTTCGTAACATAATTTATTGTTACTTTATTCCTCGGTGTTCACCTTGTTTTAACGTTTCATTTCTTTTGTTATCAAATCTATGAAAATATTGTCAATCAGAGAACAGTTCACACACGGATACCAACAGGGATTAGTTGTCTGTACTTCTTGGGAGGAATGTTTATTTTATCTCACTGTTACCGCGTGCTTGTTTACTGTGTTCTGTCATACTCGTAATCACACTGTCCTCGAATTCATGTTTCAAAATACTGCTGATTTTACACTTCCCGCGTATTCAGTTTCGCGGTCTTCAATTACATCCTCTACAAGTCAGCGCAGTACATCTATCCAAGATCGCCCTTGAACGGAGCCGGCGCTTGGCCACTACGGTCTGTCGCCCAGTTTTCCAATAATATATTCGATGTTGTCTAGTTACATTTTTCGAACTATTGGTGTCGTTGCTTCGTGTAATAGACAAGCTTGTCTATTTTCGTCTTGTTCAGTCGTGTTTCAATACATAACACTTGATTGTGGGTCATTCTATCACTCTCTGTTCTACCTCTGCATGGCACGAAACTGTTCTAACATTGTTCGAAACTGGTCTTGTTCCCGGCACTTATTTCGTAAGATGTCATCACTATTTCTGAAGAGAACTACGTGTTCCATCAACTGCTCCCAATGGAAATTCATGAGTGGTGAAAATAGGGTATTGTTGGTCTAATTCGAATATACGAACTTCGAAACAATGGGCTGACTACCTTTACCACTCAGCCGCTTCTACTACAGTACACTTATACATCGGTTGACTCGTCAACGCATACATTCCCGATACTGGTTTACGTCAGCTAAGCAAACATGCACAAGATGTACGCTATTTCGTGCAAATCAGTCGATCGTTTCATTTCTGTTTTACGNTTGCAGTGGCAACACGGGAAACCTGTCACCTGATTCCCTTGAGTATTTAAAAAGGTCTGTATTGTAATTCCGTGATCACTGTTATCGTTGTGCCCCAGTGCATGTGACCGATGCCAGTATTGGTTTAATCCATCATTTATTGATTACTTTTCACACTTCGTTTCATTTCCAGATGTTAAAACGTACACTACAGGCTGTCTACTGTCTGGCTTCTCATCCCACACTTCCATACTGTAAGTATGTTCTCATTTGGCAATCCACAGCTACCGGGCAAAATGTTTTATCCTCATTGTCTAGAAACCATTTCCCTCTAGAGCCCTGTTTGTTTCGATTTCATTATCAGTGACCGCTTTCCATAGCTATCCTTTGAAAATGAAATCGCCAATCGTTTGTTTTATGAAGGCAGGTTTGGAAGCCCTAACTCACCTTTGTGGTAAATCGGTCACTGTGAAGATGTCTATGAGACTAATGAGGAAATGTCAGCCATTGAGCCCTTACACCACACTCTTCCGACACATTGTGCGAAGTTTGAATTTGTTGCATGATAGACAATTTAGATGTGTGTGCATGCATTGACTTCCAGTGATAGATTAAGATCTTCTTATCGTATTATTAAATGTCTCTTCTAACGTAAAACTTGATTTAGGAAAATCCTTTCTTATTATTATCAGTCACCTGTCTTGAATGTTGGTTTTCGTATAAGAAATCAACCAATTTACATTTGCCATACCTGTGGAATATGCTCAGGGCACCTACAATTTTCTAGTCATCTCTATGTTTTTGATATGATCTTCTTCATTCTTCTCGCCTATTCATGCGCAGTCGCTTCACGTTTTTCTCATTTTTTGATAGTAATAATAGGCAGACATCATTACGGAAGAAAGTCGATAAGTATCTCGGTTTTCATTTTTGCCGAAATCAAAATCCGGAGGAAAACGTTAGTCGCTGTAATCTAAGACCACTCGGGGTTCAGTAGGAGGACAGCTACTAAATGAACAAATAATTTTTTTCAAAGGTCTGATGATTAGTGTACATTGCTAATAATCACATAGATGCTTTGTGCCCATAGGAGATTGAATTTTATCAAACAACTCACGACTTAATATCCAATGCTCTTAAATCGCGAACAGGCAGAATTGTAGGTATG